CAGTTGAAACTGCGCAGTCATATAGTATGGTACAAGTGCATGATTGGGTTTGGGTAAAAATCCATTGACAGATAATTTTGAAAATTTGATAATATGAATTTAATTCTCATTTTATGGATTATACAAGAACCAGTGCTCAGATTCATTTGAAACTTAACAGCCATGTACTATGGAACAATTGGAAATAAGTGCATAGTTAATTAGCTTAATTTGTGTCTAATTTGTGTCAAATTCTTGTTATATAAATAAATACAGATATGTGATACGTATCCCCGTCAACTATACATGCCAACTAACGTGAGTACGCCAGTGTTAGTTGGTAGCTCAAAGTTCAGAAGTAGGGGAAGGTTACCAGCGTTATCTTATCTACACAGAGAAAATCAAGTAAGTATGCACAAATTTAAGTCACATTTTACACATGGAGATCACCATGTGGTGCAGTGTTCACAATGTTTGTCTTCCCCAAATCACCAACAAACTAAATTTGAACAAAATGTCAAAACTGATTTCTCAGGTACTTCTTGGCCAATTTCATTGTAACTTTGGTATTAACATTACACTCAATGTGTTATTGATGCACAACAGTTTTTGGATTTTTATTCAAAAGGGTCTTACTAATTTTTTCAGGCATGCCTAATGCAATATTATTCAAACTTAGTGTAAACAACACACATGAGTTTAGTTTTGTGACTTGATTCAAAATGTACAACTTGTTTATTTGTGGATTATACAATTTTGTACAAAATGAGAATGATCTTATTTTTAGGAAGGGTGTCAGTTTGACTGAACACAACCTGGATAATGTGCCACTAACACCATATTTCAAACATTCTAAATCCACATCTTTCATTGACAAAATTACTAAAAACTGGTCAGCACTATGACATTGACAATGACTTATTCTCATTTATTAACTCTCATTCTAAATTAATGTGCAGTCCAAAAATAAAAATCTAAGATATAAGATATAATTTTGGACCCCCCCAAAAAAACACAATTCTGTGATTGGTCAGAATTTTAAAAACTAATAAATTATGAAAATCTACCAAATAATTACGTGGATGAATTTTTAGAGCAGGTGAAATTTATAATTTGTTCATGATATATACATGTACGGTGCTTGTTCTGCGGATCCAGTCAGCTACACATGGTACTGTGAGCTATTCAATACTATAGCTGTAAAATCTGTTTATTGGGCCACGAAAACAATATTGCCAAGTACGTGACTTTGTATGTATTACAATATGATTGAATTCTAGGTGTTTTATGACTGACTTGAGAAATATTAACCTTACTGAGGTGGCTCAGCTCAAACTTATAACAACACCTATTCACAACATAATTGCATAGTGAAATGGCAGTAAAACAATAGAATTGACCATATTCCTGTACATCTAATGATAATAACTGTACCATTGTAATTCTACATATACATCGAATATTGCATGTACATCTAAGTGGCTGGAGTGTATATGTAGGATGTACTTTAAATAGTCATGCCCAGCTCCATCTAAGTATTCAAGCAACCATATTAGGCACTCGCCTTGATTGCTTTATCAGAGTTTTCATCCAATCTGACATAGAAATTTAAATTTAAATTGACTTCCTGTTTTTTGCCACACTCTCAGATTTGATCTTCTCCTCCCTACCAACCTGTAATCATTGGGTGATTGATTTGTGGTATTTGACCTTTTATTCTGACCGTATGTCTCACCTTCATGTATGTTTTGAATTTTATTATGCGTTAGGTTGTATTTCACAATTAAAGCATATGTCAGATGTAAGAACATTTTGAAAAGAACTTTCCAACCATATCATTTGTATTGTAACTGCAGTTTTATGTATCTTTTGTCTGTTTAAAATACACTATAATCCATGGATCAAATGGTATATACAACCATGGCCCAAATAGTCTTTCTTTATCCATGGTCCAAATCTCTGCAGTCAGCCTCTCACTTCAGTACTCACAGACTGTACTTTGCTTCGACACCAGCCATCAGCCAATATGCAGGCAGCCTCTCGCTTCAGTACTCACAGACTGTACTTTGCTTCGACACCAGCCATCAGCCAATATGCAGGCAGCCTCTCGCTTCAGCACTCACAGACTGTAATTTGCTTCGACAACAACCAGTATGCAGTCAGCCTGTCACTTCAGCACTCACACACTGTACTTTGCTTTGACAGGCAGCAATATGTCAGTACAGTCAGCCTCTCACTTCAGCACTCACACACTGTACTTTGCTTTGACAGGCAGCAATATGTCCGTGCAGACATCCTCTCACTTCAGCACTCACACACTGTACTTTGCTTTGACAGGCAGCAATATGTCCGTGCAGACATCCTCTCACTTCAGCAC